TTTATCGTTGTATTTATTTTCGTAATTTCATAAAAATTCATGAATTTCGTTTAAATTCATCCTCGTTGATGCTTTACTTTCAGAATTAATTTTGTTAATTCTACGACGAAAAACATGTCACGATCGTGACGCGGCGATCAAAATTATGAGTAATCTACACACGGAATCCAGTGCTTTCAGGTTAAATTTTTCTATAAAATATAGATATGTTTACCGCGATTACTCTGGAACAATGTTGCGGACACGACGGAATACGGAAGCAACGGGCTCGGAAAAGGAACAGCTGCCCGCGATAAAGCGTCAGAGCTAGACGATATCTCGCGGTTTTACTGCAGCGGCGTTTCTTTTATTTGCATAATAGTAGCTGATGACCCGTCGTAAAGGCGACGCGCAACGTTTACGCGCGCCCCCTTTCACCGTTCTTCGGTTTTTGTTTCACCTTTCCTTATCCTCTTTATTCTTCCGTTCCGCTGGACGCTCCATCGCTCATCCATTCATAACCCAGTCATTTTTATTCCCCCGTTCGATCGACGGAACCATTTCCGATAGAAAGTTGGCGATTTTTTAACGACCAACCCCCGCCGGGCACGCGTAACGTTTAGTATTTATCGCGCTTGTAGGTTGCCAGTTTAATAATGGAACGATGTTTAACGCGAGCGGCAGATCGTTTCGGTGTTATTCCGTTGGCATCCGTTTTACGACGCCTTCCGCTCTCGGTGACCCATTTTCGATCTACAGGGTAGCGAGGAACTTCTCCCCGCGCAAACTTTAGTGCGTTTTAAACAAAAGTGGCACTTGTTTCCTTGACCGAAAAATTTTCCCAAATTAATATTAACCCTTTGCATTAGAGGCCTTTTTTTCTGGTATCTGTCAGCAACTCGAGATGTTTGTTAGCATTCTATTGCCATGAATTCTAAGCTGTCTAGATTTGAGAATAAGCTCACTTTTACCCCGCCGACAATCATTTTATTGACACTTCGAGCTTCAATGAAATTAAACCTAAAGAAACATTGGGTATTGTAGATTTGCTGCGTGAAATGGTGACAGAGAGTTACCTCTTTACCTGAGGGTTAACCACTCGGATGTCCCCCTATGATGGGACGTTGGAAGTCTAGAAAACTTTGCCAGAGACCAGACAAGATAAATTCTCTCGAGCACAACATTTTCATAGTTTTTGGTGCATAACTTTTGTATCGATAGCCGGAGAGGGCCACCGGTGCTGCTCCCGAGGTCCTCTACAACATTTTCATATGTGTACACTTCCTTGGAGGTTTCCATTCAAGTAGCACGAACGAATAAATCGAAGTAGCATTACTATAAATTACATGCTTTTTATGCTACATTCAATACAACACGATTCCTCTTAGCACATTCTACATCAAAATGACTTTGAGTGCAAAGAGTTAATTGCATTATATATGCTCTATAAAGCTGAAATTTTCTAACCACCTCGAACAAGAGTATATCAGCTTATAAGCTTCAAAACTAATGCAGAGCTGAAGTTTGCTAAGTCACGCCACGAACAAGACTACATCAACTCACAAGCTTCAAAACTAACGCAGGGTCGAAGTTTCCTAAGTAACACCACGAACAAAACTGTACATCAACTCATAGACTTCGAGACTAATACAAAGCTTCGTAACACCAAGGACGAGCTCACAGTCTTCACCGACTGGAATAACTCTTCTAAGGTCCTCTCTGAGACCTTGAATCGGCGCGGGTGCCCCTAAATGCGTCGCCATAATTTTTAAACGAGCACAGACTCTCGGAGACTATTATTGGAAAGTGGATCGATCAGGCATCGCCGGCGAACGTTTAATTCCGTGTCATCGGAAGGTATCAAGGTTAACCATAAGTCATTTAAGGTACGCCAAGCGTTTCTCGGAACCAGACCTAACCGATTTCCCCCGACTTTCGGCAGAACGTCGAAGGAAGACGGATGTAAAGCAGTCCGACTGTGGACAGGGGGGGGGGGACGAGACCTGAATGCACTTGACTTATTGCACGGTTCGAGACTCTTTATAAGTCGATCTCGGTGTTGTGACCCACATCTCTCCTTGCTTTTTCCGGATCGAAGAATGAATCGTGCGATATAAAGGAGGATGTCAACCGGCGCTCGTTCGCCAGGCACTTATGGCTGAGGACGAGCGATGCCATTCGTGCCATTCGGCCAAACACAGCACTTTTACTTTCATGGACTGGCCGATCGAATTCTGATCGTAAACAGGTCAAGAATGTCTTTTTATTCGATATTTTCATTCCCTTGGAACTGATTTCCATTGAATTCGATTTCTTTAATTCGTCTGATTCTTTCAAATCACAAAAGAAGAATTCGTTTACTCAATATTTACTGTTTCTTTACACATTTTAATTCCGGGGCTTTTAATGTCTTCTAACTTAACTTTTTAAGAAGGCGCTTGATTCATTGTTTAGGGTGCAAATTGCGCACCTTGGAGGAATCGCAAAGAAAGAATCTCACAATCAATCTCCCCTGTCTGATTTTTATCAATGACCCCCGGACCAAATATTTTCCACCATTCCAGAAGACTCTTACACCTTGAAGAAATTGCAAAGAAAGTATCCCAGACTTCCAATAACCTGTCTAATTTTTATCAATGACTCCGGACGAATCATTTCCTAGGAAATATCCTGGAAAACATCGGGACTCGAGGACATCATAACTGCAACGCATTCGGGCTAGTTACGTCACCATAGATCCTTCCGAAGACGATTCCCGGTATCCCCGGCTGATGAACTCGTCACACTGTAACGGTTTAATGAAATGTGCGATTGCACCGGACCGTTCAGCCGTGCCTTTGTACTAGAAACCTTTCACGGGATTCGTAATTTTTCCGACCGCCTCTTATGAGTCCCCCCAGCGTGCTAACCTGAATTCAATGCGGCGTAATATCGCACCGGCGAGAGGTCAGCACTTGTAGCTCGCAGCCGAGGCTCGTGGCTGTGTTTTAATCTCCCGTCTCTTGGAAGGTGGAGCCTGTAGACTTTTAATTAAGTCGACGCCGAGACGGTGAATACCAACGTGTCGTCGATTCGAGATTTACCAACTCGCGGCTGGGAGGCTGGGGTCAACGTGACTCGAGAGATAATCTTGAGCGAAACTGGTCCACCCGTCGGAAACACTTCTGAATTGTTTTCATAACCAAAGACGAAGTGGGAGGGGATATTTCGAGAGGTCTGTCCAATTCGGTGCGCTCGTTTAAAAATTATTAGTTCGAAGGGCAAAGCAATCCTTTGAATCTTTTAGTAGAAACTTTCAAAATTTCTCGAATCAAAATGTCCTAAGCCTGTTACCATTACCTAACGTTTGTCTACGCATCAAAAGACCAACAAACTTTAAAGAATACCTTCTTCCACAGCCCCCAATTAGTGGTCAAAGGTCTAAATCGGCTAGAAATCAACCACCAGTCACCCAACATTTGTCCATGCATCAAAAAACCAACTAACTCGAAAAACACCTACTTCCACAACCCTCAATCTACGGTCAAAGACCTAAATCAGCTAGAAATCAACCACCAGTCACCCAACATTTGTCCATGCGTCAAAAAACCAACTAACTCGAAAAACACCTACTTCCACAGCCCCCAATCTACGGTCAAAGACCTAAATCGACTAGAAACACGCTTGGAGGTAGGGTGGAGGCGGTTTCGCTTCATTTCTCCCGTCGAGAGGGAAAATGTGACCTCTGGTTCGTGCTTTGGCACGCCACCAAGGCACGTGAGGAACGTGCACACATTAGGCATGCTTATTAGTAACAGAAGCCTGAGCAGCGTACGACAAGGTAGGGACTGGAAGGGGGGCAAGAGGCGGAGGTGGAGGTCTGCAAACCAATCTGCACGCGCAGCCGCGTGCACCAGTGCATCGGAAACGATCGGTACCAGTCGTGGCGGCGCGGCGTGGAAAAGGCGATATAAACGCGGGTCGCGCAAGTGTAACCGCTCGGCGAACAACTGGACTCACGCGTGCCTCCGCTGATGGGATTAGAGGAGTCGCTCGCGCGCAATTTGCATGATCCTCGATGATTAACCTTGGACGCGTAGCAATGTCCCAGCGAACGATTACGACGTCGGTGCACGACACGAGGACGAAGATTATATCGTTCCAACGTTCGTGACGGGAACGTCGATGCGACACCTGACGGCGGTACAACGATGGAGAAAATTGGAAAAATTTTGGGAGGGTGGATTGTTTATACAGGGGATGGAGAATTTTGATAAAGCGAGCAGTCATTTAAACGAAGAGATTAAACGAATTGTCTTGGTTGAGTTGGCTATTCTTTGGTTCTTTGTCTACTTAGGTCGCGATTATTCGTTTATTTATTTGACGAAGATTTTTAATTAGAAGTTTTAGTTTCCCTTATTTGTTTACATTTTTCATTTATTTTTCATGAATTTTCTATGCATGTTCCATCTCCTATTTTCTTTTCACTCGATTTTCTCTTCGGCAGTCTAGGGATTAACCCTTTGCACTCGAAACCCATTTTGTTGCAGAATGTGAAGAGAGGAATCATGTTTGATACCGGACTTTTGAATCGAATTGTACATTTGCAATTGGTTCCCTTTTAACATTTGGCTGTATGTACGTTACCATTGCGTAATGTTCTTTTGAACAAAAGTTAAGAAAACAAACGTCAGCTGTCAAGATTCCCTTCATCTGGCTACTGCAATAAATACGTTGATATTTTTTAAATTTAATTTGGAAAATCAGGCTTTCAAGGGTTGAATAATGTAGCATGAAAAGCGTGCAATTTATTGTAACGCTACTTTGATTTATTTGTTCGTGCTACTTGAATAGAAACCTCCGTGGAAGTGTATCCCTTTGAAAATGTTGTTCTCCAGAGACTTTATCTTTTTGATCTTTTTTGAAAACCAGATGACGATGAACCCTCGGCCATTTCGACTCACTTTAATTATTTGTATCATTGTAAGCTCGGTGTGAGAAGTTGACGATATAGCCTTAATGGATGAAATTTCTGATTTCAGGGATCAGGATGCGGTGGATCGGTTACGTGGCCACAATTCTCTGGTGGTCGGGCATCGCCAGGTCCCTCAGCACGGTGAATCGAGGTCACAGTCAGTAACACTCCTTTCGGTGGTTTGAATACGCATATTTCAGTAGCCAACGCGTTCCTCTCCACGTGTCTCCTCGAACGAACGCGTCTGCCTTGATCTTGAACCACGTACCTTGGCCGTCTTTTTCGCTTCCATAAGAAGTCACTGGAATTTCACATTAAGTTTTTATGTAAACTGTTGTACCCTGGATAACTTACCACAGGGGCCTACCAAGAACAATTTTCAAGGTCATTCGAAGGTCAACTTCAATTTTCCAAGACGGTCGAGTCGCGTGCTTCGCTTTTCAGGAGTATAATCCAGTGATCAACCCTTTTGGAGGATGAATTATTTTATTTCAATTATAGAAAACTTTCATTTGATCGTGACACACATGGACCATCCCCGATAGATTAAATTTAATAATATTCAGAGCAGGTTAATAGATGGAAAACTTTCAGCAACGCGAAACTGGTTTTCAGACGGGATTATTAAATTCCCTGGATGCATTCGGTGCAGTAGGCCAGCTAATCATCGAATAATTACCAATAACACGATTCCCGTTACCGATCGCGAAAGGAACAACAGATTATTCGAAATCGGGCGTTATTTCCCGCCACGCTCGTTTATCGCTTCAAATAACAGTTATTCGAAGATCTTACGCCGCTCTCGCATAATTTATTATCCCTCACTTTCCTCGCCTCTTTTATTTCATCTCTGGTAAGAACAAAAAGAGTGAGGCGGGAGGCCCAGTTCTGGTTTCGTTACGGTTCGACCACGTTTCGACCCTTCGTCGGCGTTGTACCCGCCTCTCCCTTTCTCCAGGCCGTCGAGCGTTTCTCTTTCTTCCTCGCGGGTAGGTTCCTCTCTTAAATGTGTAACGCCTAATTGAACGAGTGGAACTCGGTCAAGGTGCAGTCGGTCGCACGAGCGTGGGAAAAGAAAAGCGCGCGAGGAGGGAGGAAGAGGGCGACTTTCTTCCAGTTTCGAGGAGGCTCGAGGAAGGAACGCGCTGGAAAAATCGCCTTCTTCGCGACGCGGGAAGCGTTCGTTTTCCACTCGCGACGCTAACTGCCTCGGTTCCGTTTTACCTGCGGCTGTAAATAGTCGTCAAGAGTAGGCTTTAAATAATCGTGCAATCAAAACTTCTTGCTTCTGTTTCTCTTTACGTAGCATCGAATAGATTATAAGTTCGATATCGATTGGCCTCTAGATCCATCTCGTATACTGCTGCAAAAAGGAAGGCACCTAATCTAGAAATGAGTGACAGAAGTTTTCGGTAAGGAGTTAAAAAAATAATTCCAAAAGTGAGACCAATTCCAGCAATGAAAATAAATTAAGATAGGATTCGCGAATTAAATAGGTTACAGAATGAAATACTAGGACAGATATTAAATTATCGACGGTCTCGAGACAAAGTTTTAACTCGGTAGAAATTTTCAAGAGTTTCAAGAACCTGCCGGCCAGTCAACGTGTTAATATAAGCATCATCATGCTGCTTGCATCTAATATTCCTCATTAGATTTCTATAGAAAAAAGAAAAATGAAAAGCTGTCCTCTTCCGCGCGGCAAACGAGTCATTCTTCGTTAACCGTTTTCTCCGCGAAAAATCTCGTGTCACACTTGGCTCCGGGAGAAAATTATTCGCGTCTCTTCTGCGACTCATCATGTTCAATGGATTCTCGCGAATCCAGCCCGATCTATGTACCAAAGTAGGTATTTATTACTCCGCATAGCGAGTGCAACGTGCTTTCGAAGTCGCACCCTGTCCAGTTAGGGTTGGAGGCAAGCGTTTAATTCCTGGAACACGCGTAGTGCAATGAGTATAATAAGATCCCTAGGTGCCTGGGCTTGTAACAGTGACGAGGATGAGCCCAGGTGATTACATTGTTGCATATGCCTATAGGCTAGCGTAGTTAGTGTAACTACCATGCCTAGCTACCATACCTGGCCTAGCTACCATAGCTAACGTCCCTCGATACTTTCCATTAAAGAAGTAAGACCACGGAAGCCTCATCAAGGAAAACATCCTTGAAGATTGATGCCAGGTGCTTCGAAGGACTTGGACTAATCGCTCAATTAACATCCAAGCTGATGAGGATTGCAGGACTCTTTGAATTGCTACTCCTCTTACTTAACTGTAGAGTCACCGAAGATCGACATCGAGCTCTCGAATCTTCGCTCGATGTTCTCCAAGTCACGTGTTCTCGTGAAGTTTCAATCATTCGATCATTACCCAAGCTTCTTCAGGACGAAGGGATCCGTTGGGTCTATTTTTGTAAAGAAGCAAAAGTCCAGAGGATCCTATTCAACTTCTCGAGCCGTGCTTCCTCCTCTATCGTTGCTCATCCCCCCCAAGACCATTACCGTACCTGCAAAGAACACTCGCATCGCCCAGGTTCGAATCTGCTCGAAAGTTCACTTCCCGTTGCTCGAACTATCCGCAGAAGCCTCTCCAATCAGATTCGAAGCCCCTGGCAACACAGCGCAAGGTACGCCGCGCGAGAAGCATCCGTCTCTTCGTCCATAAATTGCGCCTTCACGATATTAATGATATTCCTCATTAGTTTACATGATACGTCATCCTGGCCAACAGCGAAGTAGCCTTCTTCGCGAATTCCGTCGTTCGCTTCGTCTAAATTCCACCCGGAGGACCTCGTGATCCACGGTACCATGGTTCATCCCTAATCGTCACCCTCTCGACCGCGCAGAGGCCGACCACCATCAACCCCATTGTTCCCGCGAAGACGAACGAACGCTCGACTCGATAAAGTTTTTCTTTAATTAACCCCGGTGGCCAGCAACGCGATACGGGCATACTTCTAACGGAGAAAGCGAGACCATGAAGCCACGAGTAATTTACGTTGCAGTTCGCTATACGGTGACTCGGTTAACGACCTGGCCCAGGCTCCTCGCGTGCTTCTTCCGTGCGACGATTGACTTTACTTTTTACTCTTCCACGTAGGCACATTTTTCCTTTTTCCCCTCGTTCGGACACGAGGTGCCCCTCGAACGTTCACGCGCACACTTTCGCCGGAACGGAGCACCGCGAGCCAACAGATCCCATCTGCGAACGCTAATGACGTCCCAATTACCGGACCCCGCTTGCTAATTAGAGAATTCGACCAAAATTCAGCGCACGCAGGATCCGAACGACGAAGGAGTATCGATCGCCGCGGTTTCGACGCTGGAAAACGATTACTCTTGCCGTACGCGACCTCGACAAAGTCCCAGGACGATTCTATTAATTGCTAGAGAGAATTACGACGGAGACCCTTGAACGACGGCTTATCTATCACGCACCGTGGCGCGAATATGGGTCGGCCGGGAAACCGTTCGACGGGGTCTGATTGGTGGGATACCGGATGTTTCAAAATGAAATAGAGATAGAGACGAAGACGAGACTGGAGTGGTGACTAACTCAACCACTCTACTAACGTGCTTCTTATACATCTGACTCAACTCTGAGATTAACTAAGATCTAGGACTCTGTTATCAACTGAAATCTTCACTAGATCCCCAACAAATTAAATTATCTCCTTGATTCAACTCTCAGATTAACTGACTTTATGATCTAGGAATCTGAGACTGTTATCAACTGAAATCTTCATAAAAACTCACTAGAACCCCAACAATTTAAATTATATCCTTGATTCAACACTAAGATTAACTAATTCTGAGATCTAGGAATCTAAGACTCTGTTATCAACTGAAATTTTCATAGAAACTCACTAGGTCCCCTAGCAATTTAAATTATATCCTTGATTCAACTATGAGATTAACTGACTGTAAGATCTAGGACTCTAAAAGTCCAAAATCAACTAAAATCTTCATAGAAACTTATATACAAGTCGATCCCATAAATATTCGTACCCTCTATGTCTATCGAAGCAGTTTGACTAAATTAAATAATTGTTATGATATTACCAAATGAGCTTTTCATTATAAATATGAATACGAATAAGCTTATATTAGGTCTCCCGGAAAATTCTGTCAGTTCCGGTTACAAGCTTTTAACAAGTATGCGCATATTCATTAAAAACGATATAAAAATTGCAATCATATTGGCAAGATGTCGTAAATAATGATAAAAATAATATTATTCAATAAAATTTATTCAAGGTATGAGAAATTTATTATTTTGTGTTATTTGTATACACATCAACATACTTATACAAATATGGAAACATCAAACCTACCATTTAATTTAAACAAATTTCTTCATCAATGGATGTAGAGGGACCATAGGTCCCCTGACAATTGCAAACAACCATCTCCATCAACCATCAACCGTCTCCAACACCAAACGTTCCCCACCGAACCTCTCTATTACCCTTGGTGTCCTATATCGAGTGAGACCGGACAGACCTGTATCGAAATCAGAAAATCTAAACTCCAAAGTCTTAAATCCCCTCATCCCTTAAACCGGACCATCCTCCAACACTTTCACTCCAAGACTCCCCTTCCTCTTCCCAGTCCATACCTCCCCAAACCTCCCCCAAGAAGCCCAACCCATGAAAGTGGTCTGTCTGTCCCAAAGGTTACAAAATCACCCCGAAGCCCTGCAGGGTCCCAGGTCCGGAGCCCAAGGACGGCACGTGCATGTTCGTGTGGGAGTGCATCAAGTCGGAGGGCACGCACGTGGGCGTGTGCGTGGACACATTCATGTTCGGCAGCTGTTGCGTGCATAACACTACGTCGAACGCGATCGCCGCACCTCACCATCAGCAACACGCGTCGTCTTCTGATCCTCTGCGACCCACCCTGGCGGAGGCTCTGGGCAACGAGGCGACGAGACCGACGCTGACGTCCCTCTCCAGCTTCCTCGTGACGGACACGAGCACCACGAGGCCGAGTCATCGTCCCTACGAGACGCTGGACACTTTCGGAGGGTCCGGCAGACCACACAAACCGCTGACAGCTGGTTCCGCGAGGCCGCTGCAGAAGAGGCCGCACGCGAAACCCGCCTCCGACCACAAGGACAGGATCCAGACCTCGGCGGTGCCTGACTCCTCGGGTTACTGGGACAAGAGTCCTCAGAGCACGAGGAGACCTGGCACGTCCGAGCCTTGGGAGATGGGCGCTCAGAGCACGAAGAGGCCTGGTGCTCACGAATCTTGGGAGAAGGGTGCTCAGAACACGAAGAGACCGAGCATCTCCGATGCCTCGGAGAAAGGCGCCCAGACCACAATGAGACCAGGTGTCGAATCTTGGGAGAAGGATGGTCAGAACACGAAGAGACCGAGTAATTCCGGTGCTTGGGAGATGGATACCGAAAGCACGAAGAGGCCAGAGGAACCCGACGTCTGGGACAAAGCTACCCAAAGCACGAAGAGACCAGGTGACATGTGGGAGAAGAACTCTCAGAGCACCAAGAGGCCGAGTTCCCCTGACCACCCGGAAAAGAATACTCAGAGCACGAGGAGACCAGGCTCCCACGGCACTAAGAGACCAGGGTCCCAGAGCACGAAGAGACCAGGCACTACCATCTACTGGGAGAACAATGTTCAGAACACGAGGAGCCCGGGACATCACGACGTCCAGAGCCCCAAGCAGAAGACCAGGCCTGACGACAGTCAACATACGGCTGGTAAGGAGAAGGACACCGCTCACGATGACTTCCAGGGTCATCATCAGGGGTTCAAGGATAAAGTGGACACCGGGCACAACACGTTGGTGATAAGACTGCCAGGGAAGGAGCACGCGTCCAACGAGGACGAAGGCATCAGGCCCAACAGGCCGAGCAACCAAAGACCATTCGAGTCGAGACCTGACGAGGGCAAGACCGAGGACTCTGATCTTAGCGGGCAGGAATCGGTGCACCGCCCTAACATCAACTTGGTTGAAGAAAATGTAAGGATTTTTTAATGGGTTGTACAAGCAGGGTTCAGAATTTGATGACGTTCTCGTAGTAGAATTGTCCTAGTAATGCAAAAGGTTTAGACACTAGCGAAGAATCGTTTGAATTAATATTGGTTGTTGTATAGTAAGACCCAGCTTAAAGCTGTTTTAGTATTACGCGGTAGTATTTGGTAGTTTTTTTTTCGGTTTGTACATAATGATTTAAATTTTGATGGAAGTTCAAAGGCAAGACGACGAGGCGTCATTGATACGATGTCTTGCTATCGACAAGTGCTTTCTGAACGGAACAGGCCTAGACAAATGACTTTAAATGACTTCGTCACAAAAAAAAAATATCAAATGAGGAAGAACCTTCCTCGTCATAAACATGCCATCTTTATTCGAAATGTGTTTGATTTTCATGAATGTTATATGAATAAAAATGGATTTGCAATAAATAAGTCTATAAGTGATACAATAAAAAACGATTTAACTATTAAATCTTTAATAGTTAAATAAATTTAATAGTTTAAATTTAACTATTTAATCGGTGATAACGATTTAACTATTTAATCGGTGATAACGATTTAACTATTAAATCGTTTCACTAAACTGTTTCGTTTAGCGCTGGATCTTATTGAAACGCATCCCCCGCGGAGTCTTAATGTACCTAATAATTACACTATGTACATTTGTGTAAAATTATCAGTTTACGCAAATGTTCATCTCTTGATAATAATATCGAAAGTCAGAATGGAATTCAATATCGCTCGATGCTGTTTCTTGTCAGGAAACAGCCAAGGAACCTCACTCCAACGTCAATTTCATCCACACGGAGCGCCCTCAGTGGGCAACGAAGCCAGTATCACCGAAACCGACGACGGATTTTTCGAAACCGTACTTCTCAATCAAGACGACCACCTATCGACCCATGTCGATGAACGATCAATCAGACGTCAAGCCGAATTTCATCTCGAAGCCCAATAGTTTGTACACGTCCATGACGACATCAACCACTGCTAGACCAACGCACTCCGGCGACCAGTCTACCACCAGGTATTCGACTATGTCCTTACGTCGCGTGCAGCATTACCCGGTGTCTTATGTAAACATAAACGCAGCGAATGAAGTCCTTCAAACTTATGTTTCATTCTAGCGCAGCCGGATCCGTGCCACAGACCTCTCACTGGCAAATCACCACAGAGCCAGCGTTCGTCACAAAGCAGAGGCCGTTCTCGTCTACCAAACCGATGGGTTCCCTGGAAACCGCTAAACCGTCGAGTTCCCATTTCTGGTCAGAGAACAGCTGGACGCCACCCAGGCCGTCCTTGAAACCGCACTGGACAGACAACCCTAGCCTCCTTCAGAACGGCCCTGAAGGATTCCCGCCGCGACCGAGTTTCAAGCCAACAGAACCGCAAGAAGTATGTCCAGGTGTTTCTTCTTCATGGACGTTAACCAGCGCGTCTTGATCAGACCTATCCCAGACCTTCTTTAATACTTTGATAACTGTACTCAAGCGGGATAAATTTATGGTAGGAATTCACTGTAATTCCGTTGCGGTTTAATTTAGTGAGAAAGTCAGGTACGGCGTACGTCTAAAAGTATGAATTCTCGATTTATTGTTGACTGGTCACGAGCATTATCTATTTCAATTTAAAAAACCCAGGGGGAGATCGAATATCACAAAAGCTTTGCTTATGGTGTTTATTTAGTCCTGACGATTTTTTATTCCTTTTTAACAATATAATACACTTTTCTCAGCACTTAGGTTTACGTCAGTTTATATGTATATCACATTCAATCACGAAATAATAGCCGGTGACACGAAGTCGCTTCCGTGCAAAATTCGACACTGTGTCAACCTCGCCTAACTTCCTCAGGCTCGATCTTTGCAAACCTCGGTATGCACCTAGGTGAAATTATCGTCGACACGTTTACGCCGCATCATGCCATAAATACCGGCAGCGCTCGCAACGGATTCCTCGAGCGCTGCTTTCGTGCTTCGGTGATAACGCGTAAAGAGAGCATTCGAATAATCCTCGCGAAATAACCCCGCGTATTCGCGAGACCGTGGAATTCGCGATGCGCTCGCAACGGGCCGTTGACCACGATCGCGACGCAGTTCTTCCCCGGTTCGAGAGCGAGACGTTTCTCCGAGGCATCTACTCCGCGAATCGGTTCTCGTTCGCGGAACACGGCCTTATCGCGCCCGGCATCCTCGATCGGGAAATCGATGCTCCGCGACGGTTATTAGATTCTATCGATACGCAGAAGAAAAAGGCCGCCTCGTTGAAATCCCTGGCCGGTTTTTGCCGCGGGTACTGTTAATCGCGACGAAGAACGGGCATCGACGGGCCCCTGGCTCGATTACACAGCCCATTGAGCACCAGCCCAGCTACAAAGTAAAGAGAACGAACCGTTCGTAAAATTAATAAATCGACGTTATTCACGCGTTCCGCTTCACGCAGAATACGGAGTACCACAAGCCACTCGGCGCGGCGCACTACATAACCACGTCCCACTTCGAGACGTCTGCGAGGCCTAGACCCACAAAGAAGACCACCACGTCCACCACCACGACCACCACCACCACAACGACCAGCACGACGACTACGACCACCACGCAGAAACCCGACACCATCGTTTCCACTACCGAGACGATCGCGAAGACGGGATCGGTGCTGACGGTCTCCGCGGCCGATGAGAGCAAGGGCACGCAGTGCGGCGTGCCACCGTTGTTTCCGCGACCGGAAACGAGGATCGTCGGCGGCAAGGACGCGCCGTTCGGTCGATGGCCTTGGCAAGTGTCGGTGAGACGCACCTCCTTCTTCGGCTTCTCCAGTACCCATCGCTGCGGCGGGGCGGTGCTCAACGAGAACTGGATCGCCACCGCCGGACACTGCGTGGACGAGTGAGTAGAGACGGGGTCGAAAAACGGGTCTTTCGAGTGAATTTATTCGATACGTTTGCTCAGGGACGGGGTATTTTCTTGTAATAGATAGTGAGTGATAGTGATACGGATGTAGATACGCTCTTGAGTATCGTATTTGGGAAAGGAGATGTTTTGAGATAGCAACCAAAAACCCTTACGTCGATCTGCGGAGGCTACTTGAGTATCACTGACAGTTACTCGAAGTACCTAGGCCTTGAAGTACCAGTGTTACGTCCAAAAATGCCCTGGGACTTTTTCGTTATACAGAGTGTCCCAGGGTAAGTGTTACAGAGCTGTCACTCCAAAACTATCGGCCGTATGCAAAGTTGCAAATATGGAAATTGCATGGTAAAATGGAGCGCATGTTTCAGCGAGAAGGAATTTTTGTTAACTTTGTTATTTACCGAGATGTGATGGTCAAGTTTCGTTTTTCAAATGGAACTATATATATTTTTTTTTAGACTATGCGATTGGAATTTTTGAAGACGAATTCATTATGCGTTAATGTAATTATTCGATTTTTATTAGTTTTCAAGATAGAACGCTTCAAAGTTTGCTAATTTGCTCTGTTTATTTTTGAATTTGTTTTTGAAATCGATACGGAGTGTCTCGTTTGGGATTCTAGGCCCAACGAAGGAAAATGGAAAGAATCCCAATATTCTGAGCTATATACCCTGGGCTCTATAGAAAAAAAATATATAGTTCCATTTGAAGAACGAAACTTGACCATCATATCTCGTTAAACAAGAAAGTTAACAAAAATTCCTTCTCGCTGAAACATGCGCCCCATTTTGCACGCCCCAAAATATATATAGAGCAAATGGATTCTCGCACAGCTGAGCCCGGAACCTGCTCTCAAAGTTGACTCAGCCGATAGTCATAAGAACGACAACTGGTATCGTACAACGACTAACAATTATCTTAATTTCATTGTATTTACATATGAGAATAATAGTGAAATTAAGATAATTGTTATTCGTTGTACAAAACCAGTTGTCAACTGAATCAGCTTTGAGATCAGGTTCCGGGCTCAGCTGAACGATGATCCGCTTGCTTGCCTCTAACACTCGCATGCCGGACCAACGCTACCGCCCGAATTTCCACCATTTTTTCGCAACTTTCCCCCGCAATCCAACATCCACACCCGCATTCCTCGTCCGTTCCCTACAATTTCTTACCAAAAGCCCACATAAAAAAAAAAAACTTCAACTTACCTAAAATTAACTTACAAAACAGAATCTCCAAGCCCAGACCAGACTCCTCCTTCCTTCCATCGTGGCTCCCAGGGAGCTAACTTTTAATTACCACGGATACGCAACCGATAGCGTATCGGGGCGCGTATCTAGTCCTCGTTCCGCCTCTTTCGATCCGCAATTACGTCCGATCTCGAGCAACGGGGCATGATCAAGGTGCCAGAGGGAGCTTGTCGTTGATCTCGTGTTCCAGCCTGCTGACTTCGCAGATCAGGATCAGGGTAGGCGAGTACGACTTCTCGTCGGTTCAGGAGCGACTGCCTTACGTGGAGCGTGGCGTGGCGAAGAAGGTGGTGCATCCCAAGTACAATTTCTTCACGTACGAGTACGATCTGGCGCTGGTCAAGCTGGAGAGCTCGTTGACGTTCGCCCCTCACATCTCGCCTATCTGCTTGCCAGCCACGGACGATCTCCTGATCGGCGAGAACGCGACTGTTACTGGCTGGGGGAGGCTCAGCGAGGGTGGCACCTTGCCCTCGGTGCTGCAGGAGGTAAATATTGAGGAGAGAGCACAGTGGCGACACTTGGAAAGGGTTCTGAGGTTCTGGGTGGGATAGCCAGTCCCTTGGCTTGTTACTGTAACTTCTTAGGGACTTGTCAAGTGTTAGGGTAGCCAAGTGGAAGGTTTCACGCGTTAAGGGGTTAAACTGTGGAGGTCGAAACACAATAAACGCTGTAGAGGATACTTGTATGCTCTTGAAGCTTCTATACTCCTCGAGTAGAGGAGGGTCAATAGTGGTATATACTGGATATGTTAGAGGGACCGAAAAGTAATCAAAATTTTATCAACATTTATTTATTAAAGAAATCTTAAATACTAATCAACCAAATAATTTCCATTATTTTCTAACACTTTCTGCCAGCGTAAAGGCAGTTGTTCGATTACCTTTTTAAAAAAGTCCTTCGATTTTTCATTGAAAAACTTTTCCAAGTCGAAGACATTTTGATTACTTCTCGGCCCCCCTAATACAATACAGTCAGTCCTATAAGTATTCGTATCCTCTGTATTTATTGAACAAATTTGTCTAATTTAAATGAATGCTTCGTGTTTCCAAATCAATTTGTCCTGGAAAGTTGATTCGGAAACACGAAGCCTATCTTTTAAATTAGACAAATTTCTTCAACAGACATACAAGGTACGAATACTTATGGAACTGGCTGTAGATGTTAGAAATCTTTATTAGGGATACGACGCTTGTCTATAACTTACTCTTTCTAAAACCTATCCAAAACGCTGATCTAATCTAGCGAACTACTAGTGTCATTCCTACAAGTACGTTTACATAGACATCGTCATCTAACGAAACTGTCAATTTCTTGCAGGTTTCCGTGCCTATAGTGAGTAACGATAGATGTAAGTCAATGTTCCTGAGGGCTGGTAGACACGAATTCATACCAGACATATTCCTGTGCGCCGGCTACGAGACCGGAGGACAAGATTCCTGTCAGGTACGCCTTCAAAGTGACACTCCCAACTCGTAACTAACACCATGGACTCAACACATTGTTCACCGGCAATTTTACACAGAAACGACTTCACGTCGCCGGCTACTATTTCGTAATTGAACGTGAAATTAAAACAATCCAACTCCTATAAACTTCATTTATATTCTACCAACATAATGAATATAAAATTTGTTTATATCTCCCTGGATTTCATAAATTGAAATAGATAATGCAAGTGCAAACACGAGTTAACTAAATGAACTCCAATAAACTTTATTTATATCTTACCAACATAATGAATTGAAACTATAAAATTGTTTCATATCTCCTTGGGTTTCATGAAATAAATAATGCAACTGCACACGCGAGTTAACTCGTGACCGGTCAACAATGCGTTAACTACCAAAACCTTCCCTCTAATAATTCCACTAAACAAATCTACAAACCAGCCTCGATATACCTTCGAAATCTCCTGTTTCAGGGTGACTCGGGCGGTCCTCTTCAAGTCAGAGGAAAGGACGGCCGCTACTTCCTAGCTGGCATCATATCCTGGGGCATCGGTTGCGCGGAGGCGAATCTGCCGGGGGTGTGCACGAGGATCTCGAAGTTCGTCCCTTGGATCCTGAAGAACGTGACCTGACCCCGCTTCGTTTCCACCGTAAACGATACTCTGACAACGATGGGACGATACTCCGTGCGTTTCTGCGAATTGTCTTCTCGAAGGGAAACGAAGAGATCATGTGAATCACTGCCAAATACGCGAGACTCGCGGAACGACGCGTCGATCCATCCGAGGCGCGGTACGAAAGCTTCGTAAGGCTGCCGGGGCGAGCATTTTGTGACGCACCTGTTGCTGACTTTATCCGAAAGGGGGGACAGAGAGCCGCGAAACTGGAAGAGCGCTCGCTCCTTGGCGAACGTTCAAGCTTTTAAGAAGCTTTTAAGAAGCTTCCGAGCCCCGAAGACTGTCGCTTTGAAAGCGAAGCCAATCAAACGGGGATCAAAGTGGAGGCTGCGAGGAGTCTGGGACACTCGCGAGACCGTCGGAAGGTTGTCTGTACGGACGATGTGGACGCGTTCGATTGAATTCGTACGCAGGACTGTATTTATATATAAATATAAGATAATAATATATTTCTTTTTCCTCGAGCAAGCGAACGAGCAATCCTGTACATGAACAACGATGAGAAAGGATCGACGTTTCAGCGACGAGCCACGCGTGCCACGCGTATTCGACACTTGTATAGCGAAGCCTGTAAAATGCTAAGTTCTTGCCGTTCTTCGTCTTAGTAATCGTCCGTCGATCGTGGACTGAATTAAAGAAAAACAATAAAAAAAGACTCCTTCGCTCCCTTCGTCTCTCTCCTTTATTTACAACATACGGATGATTTGTACAGACATACATCGTGTACTTAAAGGTAGGTGTGTGCGAACTAGGAATGATCTAATAAATATAAATATTATATATATATAAATTGTTTATAGATTATAACGATATTTATAAGTATGTCAAATAAACGTATATGTTTATTAGTACTTGGCGATGAGTCTGTCTACCCGTTTGATAGGGCTTTGTGGGTGGTCCTAGAGGATCCGCGAATTGAGGGGATCGTTGACTCGACCCGCGATTAAGGCCACCGAGGTTTCGGCGTCGACGATGAAGTAGAGAAACGGATGGACGGCCGTGAATGGCACTGGTCCAGCTCTCTCGAATAACCCGTTTCCTGTAAAGCCATATAAAAATGTTGCAAACGATTCCACAAGGCGTCCAGTAACTTCGAGTTCATTCGAGTCAAATTAAATTAGGTTAATGCTATATTTTTAATTCGACATTAACCCTTTGCACGCGAGGACATTCTATTGCCACGAATGCTAAGCTTAGATTGACTTTGAAAATGAGATCTCTAATTTGAGATTTGAGAATCAGGTCACCTTCGTCGACAATCATTTTATTGACACTTTGAGTTCCAACAAATTCAAGATAAACAATTATTGCTGGTTTATTTGCTGCGTCGAACCTAGTGGCGACCGAGACTCAACTCCCGAATTGTAGCATTGCGTTAAATGTGACAGAGTGTTATCTCTGTAAAGGGTTAATATTGAATTAAAAATATAGCTTTGAACGTCGAATCGCATTTAATTGAGTCGACCTTAGGTCGTCCCTCGAATTACTGGACGCTACAGTATATTACAACAAGTTGATTTCCGTTTATAAAGGTCTGGAGCCTTTTCAACTTCGTTTAAACATTAGTTTTAACAGACTTTGGTGGAGTAAGAAGGAATCAGATCAACGAACTCCAGGTCACCTTTAAGAAGATGGCGTTGTGGAGTGTAGCTTGGGAAGCTTCCAAAAAGGTGAGCATGATGTCCAATCGTTGTAAAAAATTGAGTAGACCATGAATATAAACAGTCAACTTGTTCAATTCTGTCATTACTAAATGTCCTTATAGCTACTTGAGTGCCAGGCGATCGAAGGAATTTTATTCAAGGATGTAGAATGTTTTGTATTACGTAGGTGAACTGAATAGTAAGTAACCAGTACGTTTAATATTTTGAAAACTATGGAGGTAGAAAACGTGTTCGAAAAACAAATGTTGCATGAAGAGATCATCATACAGTAATAGTATTTTGTTTTGTAGATATTGTAATAAAAAACATACTCTTCGCTAGGTTTCAAAGTTGCTATAAATGAACCCGAAGCATAATACTATCGCAGCGGCCTCACATGGCGGCCTCGTCTATGTGTCTTCGTGCAACATTTGTTCCAGAAATCTTTATTTTCACGCCAATTGTTTCCAAGATACTGTAGTAGCTGACTGAAATTAGTTTGTTACGTAGATAACGTAGCGAGAAACGAAAACGATTAGTAATTAATTTCTGGAGTAACGATAGACATCGGAGGAAATACCGGGAACGCAAACGTTTACGAGGAGCGTTCGTCGCAATGGTCGAAGAATTCCTAGCAAACCGCAAGGTCTTTTCATTTATTTCCCTCGGTGAGTCAGGCGCAGGATATCAGCGATTAGATCCAGCCAACTTTATAACAATACTGAGAATATTCCCGATCGTACCGACGATTACGATAAACCGGAAACGACGGTGCTTGGCCGAGCACACGACGAATCGAGAAGAATTCGACATTTATCGATTCACGAAAAAAAAATTATTTAATTAAAATCTCCCAAACTTGACGTCGCCTTGTTCGGGTCAGTTCGCCAAGATCAGGGTCTGATATAGAACAGTGTTTATCGGCAGAGGAAGCCTTGCAATAATTTAAACATTCTTTTCTATTAATATTCTTTTGTGACCTTTTAAATATGCAAGGAAATGGCAACCTTCGAAAAAGTTTTGAAATCTCCGAGACAAAGGAACGACGAAAAATGTGCAATTCTGTGATTGCAAATGGTCAGCAATCAGACAGAGGATACTGAGTTACGAATCCAGCAATTAACTATGGCAACATCCCTCGACGTTCCAATTTAAAGTAACGAAATTTTCCAAGAATTTTCATTAGAGGTATCTAGTAAATGTAATAACGTAGAATTTTGTAAGTGACACAAATCGAGTCTCCTTTTTCGAGTGACTAACTGTACGTAACTCCTCGACGCGAAAAAGAGAACAGAGATGAAGAGGGATCAGACACGCGCCAGTAGTAATGGCCAGGCATCGTCGGACGCGGTTCGCCACGCGTCCACGCTCCGACGCTGTGTCGCTTGCAAACGACGCGCTAGCGAATCGCAATTTCACCCGATGCTGGCGTCAATTACGTCACTTCCATTGCCTCGTTCAAAGTATTCATCGTTCCCTTTCGATTCTCTGTGAATTTTCGTTAATGATTTAAATATGAACAGACAACTGTAGGCAGTCTCTTTGGAAATATTTGTAAAATTAGTCGATTAGCAACGAGTGGAACTAAATACAAAAGAGCGTAGTTGCCTAGCAACGATTCAAGATGAAGGTGTAAGGTCGTGATTGCTTAGCAAGTGTAGTTGAGCATCGAAAAAAAAATATACATGTCGAATTGAGTAACCTGCTCCTTTTCGAAGTCGGTTAAAAAGCTTGAGTCGCTTAGCAACGAGTCAAGGTGAACGTGGAACATCGTGGCTGCTTAGCAACGAGTGGAGTTGAATGAAGAAGGGCTTGGGTCGCTTAGCAACGAGTCAAGCTGAAGATAGAAGATCGTGATCGCTTAGCAACGAGTGAAGTGGAGTGTCGAAGGTTTGGTCGCTTAGCAACGACTTAAATAAGACATGTAATCGATCTGTAATGACCAACCTTATTTTCCTCGCGACAATAGAGACTCCTGTGTCCAGAAATTTCCAAACGAAGAACCCTCTGAATTCAATAACAATTAATAATCAAATCTTTCTCATTTACTTATGAATTGTGGAAAATAGAGGCTCAGGAGAGAGAAAGGAAGACGTGCGTTAGTATTTAAAGAGCATAGCGCAGAAACCTGGATGATAGTATCGATAATAGTCCCGTCGAGGTGGAACGATCAAGGGAGGATCGGATTTGGGCGACTCACGAGAGTGGGTCCTATCGGGTTTCATGTAATTCCTGATGTTGACCCCGATGCTCTGCTGCACATCCCTGGCGTACACGCCTAAGTCCGGTGTCATAAGCGACAGATCCGCTGCTCTTGGCTCGAACACGTCCGCTATTCCCAGCTGCAAGTAAAATCGGATAAATTACTCACCCAAAGTATTAACATCTGTGAAGTTTCTTGGCACCCAAGTAATAATACAGGTGATTATTGACCTGCTACTTCGAAACAGAATTTGCTATCCATCATCGCTAATGCAGCAAGAAACTTTACACGAGGATGTCAAATAATTGATACGGCTGTAGTTGAGGATCTTGAAGCCTCTCGTTAATCTCTCAATCTCAAGAGGTGAAGCAGGGGTGAATATTTTAGATGCTCTAACTCGGACCAGTAGTAACCTAGTTTTAAAAGTGAACATCATAGTTAATCAAAAATTCTTCCTTTCTTTAATCTATCACAATTCAAAGACGTAAAGAAGCAAACTCGCCGTTAGAAAGACTCATGTTCGCGACCAACTGTTGCGCTCTCAAATTCGAGTCCCTAATCGTCAACTGTTATCATCTTCCATCTCTCGTCTCCAGCTTGGTATCTGTCAGCTTCGGAGTATCAAAGAGACCAGGCACCATTCATGAGTCCAAGAACGTTGCCAGCAGCCGTAAAAGTCGCGAGAACGGCGCTGTTGAATTGCGTCCATTAGAGCAATTCCCGTTTTTTTCGCGCTTCGAATTATCGTCAATTACCTGTCGTCAAGGTAATCACCTCCACCGATATCTTTGTTCGTGGAAACGCAGCCGTGACGAGGAGCGGGAAGTGCACTCAAGATCTCGACTAACGCGATTAAGTAATTAGAAGCTTAATGCCCGAGACTAATGGCGAAGTATCGAGCGTTGCGAGTTGGCGAACGCCGTTTGGCCGGGCCTCCTGTCATGAGAACGTCAAGAAAGACTGATACAAACTATGTGGTTCATCTTGAGGTGATCGATAGAGAAGACTGATGTAAGAGGTCAATGGAGATAGAAGATGTGTAGATCTAAGTTTGGGTTTAAACTGACTTGACTTGATCTAATGCGAGTTGAGTAGGTTTAAAAGAATTATTGGTCT